CTAACTTCACTTCTTCACCAGAGTGTTTGTGCTTTCTCATCTCACAGGTTCTCATGGATCCTGGTGGTGCCTGCCGCCATGATCCACTTGACCCCCACTGCTAATATTACTGATATCATTGTTATTCTTATTACTACGATTATTATTATGGTTACAATTTTTATTATTACTATTATTATTGTTCATCATCCCCCATAGTTTTGGCTATTGTTGTAGTCTTCATCATCATTTCATCTTCATCATCATCATCAGTCATTTCTATTAGTAAAGTATACTGTTGCTGTGCAACCTTTGTCTCTGTCCTTCTCTTTTTTCACCCATTCCCTCAACCCCTCTACCTGCTCTATTTGAAAAGTGTCCTCATAACTTTTGTTATGAATTGCCGCTATAGAAATAAAATACTTGTGTATGTGCAAATCAGCACACCGCCAACACATGATTTTACCTTTTATCTTGCAATGTTGTCCTCTGGAAGCATTAAGCATGTATGATTGATATCCCTATCCCTATAGAAAAGCCACTAACCCTAACCGTGCACAGTAAATTCTGATTTTCATAGCCTGTGTGTGTATATATTTATGTTTATGTGTACCTTCTGGGACTGTGCCTGCACCTCATCCAGCGTTGGCAGGTCAGAAAGGTATTTCTCAAGCGTCTCTATGCGTTGCTGTTTTTCTTGGTTCTGTTCACTCTCTCTCTGACATTTCTTTTTCAAACTACTGATGTAGCGATCTCTTGTCTTTATCTGTTGACAAAAAAACATCTCATAACCGATGCACTGGTTTCATTTGTTGAACATACTTAACTAATGTCAACAGATCATAAAAAAGCATGTTATGTTACAAAATAAAACATATAAATGAATCTGTTCACATCAGTTGTTATGTCATTAGCAGGATTAGATGGAATAAATTCTCTGCTCACCATTTTGCTTTCAATTTATTTTATATTGTGAATTCTATGGAAATGTATTGTACCTTTTCCTCCAGTTTTCTGATGTCTTCTGTATATTTTTGTGTGACTTGCTGGAAGAACTCATTCAAATGGAGTACTTCCAGTTCAACCACTGATAGCTTCCTACCAAGTTCTTCATCAGATGGTTGTTTGCATGGCACTCTCATCGCTGACTCCTAATTCACAACCAGAACTTGTCTTATTATGAAAATATTTTACGTGATGAGAAATTATTAATTTGGATTCTTATTTGTCACAGAAATGTGGTGTCACCTTGGTATTTAGAACGTCGTCAAACCACCCTCTCTGGTTCTGCAGGACCTGCTGTGCTCTGAGCTCATTCTCTCGGATCCGGGCATGAAGCTGCAAGATCTGCTGCTTTTGTCTGAAACACAGAATCCTTGCTGCTTATAAACATTTTATCTGTAAATATAGTGTAAATGCAAAATGTATCTTTTTTCAGGCATTTGGAGAGCATTATACAACTATATATGAAGACTGAATGAGGGTAAGCCAAAGCAGGCAGGGCAAACATTAGGACCTGCAAAAGACAGCAGAACCTGTGCATCTGCAGACCTGTGCATCTGCTTGACATCAGTTTTGTTGTGACACAAAAGGTAATTTCTGGCGATTTGCACACGTATTTGAACTCCTCCTCCTAGGGAATTGATCGGATCGACTTTCATGATTAAAAGTTGTGCTATTTACGGCATTCCGTCAAACTGCGTGCCCATGGCGTGGCATGGAATTTTAACGACTCGCCATGAAAGAGGGAGTTGTCATAACTTCTGTGTACATGATCCGATCTCAACGAAACTTCATGTTTGATAAGAGTCCCGTCCTGAACACATCTATTTACTAATATTCAATAGTGATAGCGGCACCTAGTGGTGAAAGGAAATGTCATTTTTACACTTTTATGTATATCTTCCAGCGGATTGATACAGCTGAAATTCTGTCAGAAGTCCCTTAGGATGATGATGATGACATCTTACGAATCTTACGAATCTTCGAAAAACCACTTTGCCATGGCAGTGCTGCAAAAATCGGCTTTTGTGTTTTTTGGGGGGCTAATCATACCCAAAAACTCATGAAACTTTGCACAAAATTCAGTCATGGTGAAGGCTAATGTATTGTCTTGGTCCCATAGATGAGTGTTGCAAAATATCGAAGACAGCCATTTTGATTTTTTTTTGTCATTTTCTGTGATTTTTCGCCTTGTATTTGAACAAACTCCTCCTAGGGAATTTATCAGATCAACTTCAAAATTGGTCAGTACAATCAAAACAAACTGCAGATGAAAAGCTGTGCTATTTGTGACTGTACATCGAACAGTTTGCCCGTGGTGTTGCGTTGAATTTCGACGATTCGCCATAAAATAGAGAGTACTCAACTTCAGTGTACAATGTCCAATCGCCACTAAACGTCGCACAGAGTGCTAGGGCCCGTTAATCACTGCTTGCAGCTTTAATTTGTGTTTTAATCATGACTGAGAGATTAATACATCCTTGTTTGTGTTTATGCTTTGTATTAATGCTATGTAACTGCAAAATGGTGAGTGTCTGGAGATTGTTCGACACAGGACTGTTTTTGCTGATTTTTTCAGTAGGGCACTGTCACACAACAACATTCAATAGAAGCAACCCGGAAATGTGTGTTTCAGAAAGGGAAACAATCTTGTCACTTCAGATTTCCAGTGGCGCAAAATACAACTTTTGGCTGACTTGCCTTTACTGATAACAAGATGACCAGTCCCAGGAAGGGGCAACAAGGAGGAGAAAGACAGATAACCGGAAGAAGAGGGAATAGGCTACCACTGCCACCAATTATCTTGTGTTATATGCGCTCCCTGAAGAATAAGATGGATGAACTCCAACTTTACACCAAAGAGTCCAAAGAGTCATGTGTGATTTTGTTATACAGTTTTTACAGAAACTTGGCTGCATTTGGTTATTTCTAGCTCACTCTGTTGAATGACTGTTCCCTGCACAATCTGACAGGAGTCCTTTTTTGGGTAAGACAAAGGGGGAGGTGGGGTGTTTCCGGTCTGCAGTGGTCAGTACCTATCAAAAGTGGTACAAGGAAACACAAGTGGTGAACCATCGACAGGGTCAGCCATCACTCTCCACGTGCATCAATGAACCTTGGCCACCTAACAAATGAGCTACTGTAGCTCACATTGCTGAAACGTTAATGCTGGTTCTGATAGAAAGGTGTCACAGTGTATCGCAGTTTGTTACTTCTGTTTGCAGACTTCAGCTATGCTTTTAATACTCTGCAACCACACAAACTTCTCAGTAAGCTCAGACAGATGTCTGTTAAGCCATATATCATCAGGTGCTATCACTATTTTTTTTTTACCAACAGCACCCAGCAGGTCAGAGAGAGTCTTAATTCATTAACACAAGAATATGTGAGTTCTCCCATTCTGTTTATTTTATATACAAATGATTGTATAAGCACTATTCCCAGCACTGTTATTTTGTTTTCTGAAAGTAAAAGTGTTTACAGTGTTGTGAGAAATATCATCTGGATGCTAAAAAAACTGAAGAAATAATATTTGATCCAGGACACCTAGGGGATCATTCTATACTACTGGTTCACAACACCTGTAATACCGAGGTTCATTTTTACAGATACTTAGTTGTACATATTAAAGGGGAACTTGGCAACTCTAGCCATTTCTTCGCTGGTTTTCACTTTTGTCATCGC